GCGAGCCAACACCATGCCGACGATGGACGACACACACACACACACACACACACACACACACACACACACCCCTCAAGATGGAGAGAGGATACCTACCATGTTTGCGTATGGGCCGGGCGAGTTGCGATGGTCCAGCCAGTCAAGCCGACCGCTCTTCGATATCGGAGCGACTGCTATTACGGATACCACGTCGGGGCTGATGGGTGCCATTGCATATTCGTAGCTGCCTGCTGAGAGCCATGTACCGCTGGCGGCCCTGTCTCAGGTGGGCGCGCGACCGACGGACGGTAAGCACGGCACGGCCCAGAGAAAGGATCATGACATGACGAAAACCACACACCCCCCGTTCTGACCTATGGTGCATCATGGAGCCCACGCCGCTCCCGCAGCTCGCATCGCGCACCAGAAGGATGGGATAGGCCCGACTGGTGTGGCCCTCTCTCCTCCCCCCGGCTCGCTCCTCTTTGTATGCATGTAAGCGGCATTGTAGGTACCTGTCTAATGCGCCTAAAAACATACGGGCCCTAGGCTCCAGTGGCGGCAGAGCTTGCGACTGGCGGAAGAGCGCCGAGAGGCGGGACGTGAGAGCGCGTGTGGATGTGGATGTCTGCCGCTGGGCTCTACCGGCCTGGCCATCGCTGCTGCTGACTGCAGAAGCTAGATTGGGGGGTTGTATACTCTACAGATTGGTCATTCATGACAGACCAGGCCAGCTCTTGGCGGCGATGGCACGGCTCAACTGGGCCATGATTGTCCGTAGAGAGGAGGAGAAGGAGGAGAAGGGACGGCTGAAGAGCGGACTCGGGACGAATCCACACAGACTCCCGACCATCTCGGATCGGTCATGGCCCTATGACCCTGCCCCGAGCCGGCCGTACGCGACAGCGCTGTCGACGGGGTGCGCGCGGCCGCTTTCATCTCAGCCGCAGTCTAACCTCCCTGCTTCCGCGTGATGGCGTAGAGGCAGGCTCCCTGTTGATCCTCGTACGTGGAGCAGGGAGTGCCTGGTTCGTTAGCTCGCGTGCAACGGACGGTACTTGGGAATTGAGATTTGCAGCAGATAGTCCACACTCGCTCGCGCGCCAGCCACATCCGATCCAGCCAGTGGTCCTGCAATGCGGAAATGACGACACCCCTTCTTTTCGGTTCTTCCATTCCTCCCAGTATGGCTTCCTTCCCGCCTCTCCACACATGCTGCGATGGATGGTGTGGAGGATTTGACATATTGGCCAGCTGACTGAAGTATTGTACAGCACATGCAAGGCAGGCATTTGATGGCAGGGTGTGTGTAAATTTAGAAAGCCCTCTTGCTGTTGGATGGAAAAACTCGGAGAGGCCTGGTGCTATGCCGATCTTTTTCTGCAATTGGAGATTTCCCAGGCCCATGTTGGGGATTTACCAGACCCCAGCTGGGCGTTCATGCAATCAAGGTGAAACGAACGACTACCTTTGGCGACATTACGGTGCGTCGCCCTCTCCCAGCGACCAGAAAACCGGCACGCCGCGACGGTCAGCTTGGAAGCAGTGTCATGCGTGTCATCCAGAGTGCCGCGTGGTGGTCCTTTCGTATGGGGGGCATGGGACGTTATCCCCAGTCTCGCCCGGGGCGCATTGCTGAAGGCTGTATCGCGTGCCCGGCAACGGGATATTGCTAACCCAATGAGACGCCGCGTCCAACTCCGGCCGACGGCCTGTTTGTCCGGCGACTTTTCCGTCGTCCGTCCTTTTCCAGCTTTCCAGCTCGTAACCCTCAAGCATCACACCCCCCCGTCTCAGACCAAACCCCTCCCTGCTCCGGTGACAAGTCCGGAGGGTCTTGTTAGTCGATATGTGTTGTCAGGTTACTTGCGACTCATGACTGCACATATACGGGTGGATGGGGGAGACGCGAAGAGGTGTGAACCTGTGGCTGGGTGGCCGCGTAGAGCCAGACCGCTGTTGAGTTCTTGATTGCGCCGTCCTCGCCCAATCTGTCCTCCCGGGCCATCGCTCGTATCCCTCTGTCTGTGCAACCAGTGGGCGAGTCTGGCGTCCCGGGAAGGAGCGAGTCGTGACAGCGTCAAGCATCAAAAGTATACTCGACAGCTGCATCCATAGGTGCAGCCAAAGCAACGTTGCGGCATCTGTGCCAAAATAATCACGAACGCCCTAACCGCGCTTGCGGATGTGCATCCGAGCCATGTACATGCAGCCTTGCACTGAAAGAGAGAAAAAAAGCATAAAAAGAAAAAAGAGCTGCCAAGTGGAGCTAGGAAGCTGTTCCGTAACCTCCCCGCCGGGCGCTAGCCAAAATGCATTCAACAGGCAATCTGAGTCGGCGTCGCCCCTCCGGGGAAGCGTCCGGCCTAGTGGCTGGCACGCCTGTCCCACAATACGCGTGACACGCCTCTCCTCTCCTTCCCACCGTCTGTTGCGCTAAGCTTGAGTCCCTCCTAGCCTCACTTGTGCTGGTTGGGCTTTTTTGGAGCCCGCACATACACCCCCTCCCCCCTCCCCCCTGGCTGCCAGACCGCCACCAAGCCTCTTGTAGCTACCACCATCTGTCCAAGGTTTTCCCTCCTTGCCGGAAGAGGAAACGGGCAATACCAGTGTCTGCATGGACATGAGAGTGACGGGACTTTTCTCAAGTTGGATGGAATCGGCGGCGGGACCGGCGGTAGGGACGGTACAGGGAAAGTAGGATATTGAACGAAGGATCTGCGGGTTGTAACGTTTAATATCCTACTTTCCTATAGGGACGCTATGCTAGCCACCCCTGCGCGACTCTAGAGCATTCCAAGGGCGGTGACTGCGAACGCCATCCGGATACTGCCCTCGTAGGGACTATCTATGGGACACTTGGGGACCTGGGCCATGGAGGATTCATCACGGGGGCTGGGAGTGGCTGACTTTGTCAGTGATATCCCCTTGCAGCAGGGTGTGCCGCCGCCCATGACCAATCGTCCCATGGGTGGCTCTTGTGTATTAGGATCCGATGGCCACAGCGCCTCTGCAATGTGAGAATCACGCCGTGGCGGTGGCAAGCCTGGGTTCCTCAGGGGCATCAGGCCGGGGACGCCGCCACCGTGGAGCAGCAATATACGGCGTCGGGCTGAATTACTCCGTCCCTCAAGTGTCAAGATCTAAGTGTCGAGTGGATGCGGAGGATTCATGTGTTTATTTCGGCACCAAGTTGGTAGATATCAAGACCTAGGATCAAAGGGACGCGAGTAGAACGTAATGTCGCGGCATCTTCCAGAACCGGCAACCCAATGATCTCGAGAAGTAGATGGAGAATTAGTGAACGGGATAGAGGTCAGCACAAAGCCAGAGCACTGTCAAACACCGGATACCGAGAAGCACAACGAAGAGAATAGACCCGAGCACAAAACCAAAGCACCCCTTGTGCGCCGCCATCACACGCCCCAGCCCCCGACCCTCTTGGTGCCCGGGGCCATCTCGTCTAGGCTGCCCATGGACGCGCGGTGGAGCGACCGCGTCGCGATGTCGGTCCGCACTCGCACTCCCGGGTGGACCGGGTCCGCCTCCTGGTCCGTCTCCTGCTGCTGCTGCTGCGCGCGGCCGCCGCCTGCCGTCGCCGCCGGGCGCTGCGGGGACGGCTCGCTAGACCAGACCCGCGTCTCGACGGCCGAGCCCGTGGGGCTCTGTTCCCACCGCGTGGCCGGGTGCTGCTGCTGCTGTTGGTGGCGGCCGGCGTGCGGGCCGGCGTCCCTCGACAGCGGTCGGCCGCGGTTGCCGCTAGCCCCAGCGCCTGGAAGAGATCCAGATGCGGATAGGCGGGATGAGATGTCTGCTGCCATGGCTGTGGCCGGCGCCGGCGACGGCCGAGTGTTGCTCTTGTGCCTGCCGAACTTGGGGAAGGAGAGCGGCGGCATCTTTAGCGGCGTCGCCAGGGTGGTGCGGAACAGCCACGGAACTCGCCGGGGGAGTTGGATCTCGTCGTCGTCGTCGTCGTGCGAGACGATGGGGAGCTGGCTGTGGGTCGAGGCCACGCCGGCCGACGGGGGCACCGCGTCTCCCTTGGAGGTGCTGCCTCTGTGATTGGGCGAGGTGGTCGAGAGGGGCTGCTCGTGGTGCCTGTGAGAAGACCGTGTTAGGTATGAGAGATAGATGTAAAGTTGTAGAGCACACTTGCCGCCCGGGCCTGGGGCGTGGAGGAGAGAGAGAGTAAGCTTACTTGGCCAGAGACGACTTCCTGTCAGCCGAGAACGTCGACGCCGCCCACGACTGCAGCGAGTGCGGGTTCCTTCCCGCGCTGCTACCGCTGCCCTTGCGCGGCCGGTCCGGGTCGTACTCCTCCTGCAGGCCCGGGAAGACGCGGCCCAGCCCCAGGGCGAGCAGGAAGCGGCGCCAGGTGTTGATGGCCTCGCTGCTGGTGCCGAAGAAGAGGAAGATGGGGATAGCGGTGACGACGGCCACGTAGTTGAGCTGCATGAGCCCGAAGCCGGCCTGGGCGCTCGTGACGTAGAGCACCCTGTTCCACAGCGGGTTGCCCTGCACCACCGAGAAGCTGTACGGCTCGGCCCACGTCGTGTCCGAGGACACGAGGTTGCGGTACAGGAAGGCGAAGGTGAGGATCGCGTAGGGGAGCAGGATGGAGAGCGTCATGCCGTAGAGCTTGCGCTTGGTGCGGTTCGCCCTCGACGCCACGCTGCTGTTGTTGGAGTGGACCGCGTCGGTGGTCTTTTTGATCGCTCGGAAGCGTTTGAACGCCAGGACTGCACACGCTGAAGTCAGCTCTCCGTTCCGCAAGTGAGGGCGACGACCTTTGTTTACCCATCCTGAGGGGGCACTAACCAGAATATACCAGAGCCCCCACGCAGAACACGGGCTGGGCGAGGACGAAAAAGGTCAAGGACAGCGGGTTCGACGCAAGGTACGGCTCGCACCCGAGCAGCGGCATGATGGCGTAGCGCGTCTGCAGGAGCGGGTAGGTCAGGGCGACCTGCAGCAGCGGGAGCGGGAAGACGATGGCGGCCTGGACGAGGTTGCGGCGACGCTTCTCGGCGTGCGTCAGGCCCGAGACGCGCGAGAGGTTGAGCTGCTGGGCCAGGTGGCGCATGATGACCATGACGGAGGCCGCGTACAGGGTGCGGAGCGGCAGGATGGTGTAGGCCTGCAGGTCGCACCAGCCGGTGCCGTCGTACCAGCTCGCCGTGTCGTCGTCGCGCCAGATGAGGCCGTTGATGAAGTAGATGGTGTTCATGAGCATGACGACGCCGCACAGGAGCGTCGCCCCGAACTCGCCGTTCTTCCACAGCAGCCGGAACGGCACCCAGATGGCGACGTTGGCCAACACGGCCAGCACCGTCCGGCAGACGAGGTCGGCGACCAGGCCGGGGCTGCTTGTAGGAGGCGGAGTGTCTGGCGTCGACATGACTTCTGGAGTTTTGGAAAGTCCTGTGATGGCTACAAGTCAAGAGAGGGAGAAAAGAGTCGAAGCAGCGCAGCTTCCGAGATACGATGGTGCCCTTTCTCGCTCGAGAAACTAGCAGCTGCAGGTTTTGGAGGGCCCGAGACCTTTGTCTTTGATCTGGGCATGTTTGCTCCTCATGTATCGTCCCGGGGCAGGTCAAGAACAGCACCTGCTTTGCCCAAAGGGCGGACGTTGTCGGTAACCATTTTTGGCCCTGAATAGAAATGTCATTGAGAGGGCCTATTCAGGTTTGATCACATCTGATATATGGGCAAAAGCCGGATGCAGCGGCGCTGAAAGGCGAGGGGCGGAAAAGGGACAGCAGTGATAGGTATGGGGGCGGTTTGGGTTATAGAATTGAGTCTATTCAGAACTTCTATTCAGACCAGAAAGCGGTTTGGTGGATAGACGCCGCGCCCCACACAACAGCCGCCCTCGCTGCACCCGGAACGAGCCCCCGCGCTCGCTCAGACAAAAAATAAGTGACAGATAGCATTCCGCAAGCAAAAGCAATAGGCGGGCTATTTCGGGTCCGGGCGGCGCAGAGAGCTGCTTGGCCTGCCATCTGCGAGGCTGAATAGCCGGGACGGTGGCGATCCGAGGTGAGCACGCGCTGCCATTCTGTGATAGGAGTCTAGAGCCACTCCCTTGTCTCGGTGTTCTTGCGGGATTTGGGCTATAGAGACGAGTTGTAGTAGAATGCGCATCAGAACCCAACGGCGTTTGTCGTTCTCGTCGAGCGTTTGATGCTGATGTCGTAGATGTTCTCCCCTTTTTCGCCAGTACCTGATTGATGCTACGTCGATGATTGGCCAATCAAGACGCACGAGCCACCACACCACCACCTCATAGTCCGTGCGCAATCTAATCCGCGCGTGGTCAACACCTCTGCGCGTCGCGATGCGCCCGCAATTGCAGCTTGGCCTGAGCTCCATGCTGCCCCCACACGAGGCGCAATTGAAAATTCGCAAACGATAGCCTCAAAAAAAATCCCGAGCACTCCACCAGAAGCTTGAGCCCGCCACCATCCCACCACTCACTCGTCGCCTCTACCCCCAGCGAAACCTCAGCCATGTCGTCGTTCCTCGCCCGCCGCGCCGTCGCCGCCCCGCGCATCGCCGCCCGGGCCTTCAGCACAACCTCGCCCAGGTCCCTGGCCCGCATCCAGCTCATCGGCAACCTGGCGGACGCGCCCGAGCTGTCCGTCACCAGCAGCGGCCGCGAGATCGTCAAGTACGCCATCGCCACCAACGCGGGTCCCAAGGACAACCGCAAGACCAGCTGGTTCAGGGTCACCAGCTTCGAGGCCGAGGGTCCCCGCAGGGACTTTGTCCTGGCCCTGCCTAAGGGGTGAGTCGACGGTTTATAGTGATGGGAGTGTTGAGGGGAGGGGCATACCCTTGTGCTTTGAAGAGGGGTTAGGGATATGGGTCCAGGGGCTGTCAAGCACCCCTCGTCTGCTTTCTGCTTTCGTGGGCGAGACGGCATGTGGCATGTTGGAGTTATCTAGTCACTTTCGTTTCCCTCATTCCTGTTGCTGACCATTCCCCTCCTCTCTCCGCAGCTGTATGGTCTACGTCGATGGCGATGCTTCCATGAATACCTACGAGGACACAGAGGGCAAGTTGCGCAGCGCCCTCAACATCACCCAGCGTAAGCAGATCCTCTCCCCTGGCACTATAGTGTGGGCTGCGCAATGCTGACTCCTCGTGTAAAAGGCAACCTTGAGCTGCTCAAGCGGCCCCAATCGCATGAGCAGGACCAGCAGCAGGCGCCACAGCAGGAGTAAAGACGCCAACTCCTGTGACGGGGAGTGAGGTGACGCTCTAGCCTAGAGGTAGAGTCATGAGCCTACAACTAAGAGTGTCTTGCCGACCTTTCTCTCCTATTTGGGCTCGCTGGCAGCTTTATAGCGGATTAGCCACTACTGTCGATAGTGTATGTATTGGCTGTTGGGGCGAGCACCCGCAAATGTACACTATTCTGCCCCTAATGTTATGATATTAAAGACATCTCAAATTAGAGATAGCTTCGGAAGTGGTGTTATTGATGCTAGCTGCGGCTTAAGAGGCGCTAGGTGTCGAATGCTGTCAAGTTGACTGTCTTGCTTGGGGCTAAGGGACACATAGTTGAGATGCTCTCCCTCCCCCTAAACTTCACGACACATCAAGTAATAATCAGGTCTCTACAAACAAACTACCAAGACAACGCCATCATGAAATTTGTCTTTGCCTCGTACCTAATCTGCATACGTCAATACGGCACTTCAGACCAACACACAAGAGTCCATGCAGCCAAACCCGGCCGCCACCCCGCCCTCCTCGCTCTGGTCCCCCTTGGTGCGCAGGAGGTACCCGCCCGTCTCGTTGCGCAGCACCTCGCCCGTCCTGTTGTTCCAGAGGCAGGTCCCGAAGACGCCTAGCTCGCAGATGACGCCGCCGCGCTCGACCTTGCCGTTGCGCAGGATGACGTTGGCCACGGGCGGCGGCGTGATGAGCTCCATCAGGATGTAGGACCGCCAGTGCGACGGCCCGCCCGGCAGCGACCCCAGGAAGGGCGGGATGGCGGCGCGGTAGTGGTTGTTGCCGCCGCCCTCGCGCTGCGGCTTGAGCACGTGGCGCAGGCACTCGCGCGCGTCCAGCGCCAGCCGCCGGCCCTCGAGCCCCGCGGCCGAGCCGTCGAGTGGGTGAATGTTTGCAAACGTCCGCCGCAGCGCCTGCGAGGCGGCCGAGTCCTCGGGCACGAACCGGCCCAGCCCAAGCGGCGGGGGTGGCGACGAGGACGACGAGGAGGAAGGTGGCGCGGCGGCCAGCACCTGCTGCACTTTCTTCATGCCCGCCAGCTGCGTCAGCACCGTCGGGCACTTGATGGCCCCGGACCGTTCGATCTGCAGCCGCCCGGCCCACGCCGCGTCGTCTTTGTAGTCGCCCGGCCCGTACCCCGCGCGCATGTACACGACGGCCACCTCGAACGCCCGCCCGGGACTGCTGGGCGGGCTGTAGAGGAGCTGCCGGCGCGGCGTGGCGGCCACGGTCGTGCGGGCCAGGATCTGGGAGAAGGGCAGCCTGAAGACGGGGATGTGGGCCTTGTTGTTGCTGCCGCTGCCGCTGCCGCCCTGGACCTCGTACTCGAGGTGGCGCTGGTCAAAGACGTTGCGCTCGCCGTCCTGGACGAGGAAGACGACGCAGCGCTCGTGCCCGAGCTCCTCCGAGGCCGCCGGGTAGGCCTCGAAGGCGGCGCGCAGGCCCGCCGCCAGCTCCTGCGTGCTCTGGTTCTCGGGCAGGTCGAGGCTGCCGGCGGGGCGCGGGTCCCCGAGCAGCGGGTACTCGGCCCTAGCGAGATACCTGTGCAGCGCCGACGTCTGTGCCGAGAGGCCGCCAAAGGAGGAGGCGATGGTGTTGAACTCGACCTGCTTGACCTGCGGCACCGAGTCGGGCGCGGTCAGGTCCTGGTGTACCATGTAGTCAGACCTGAAGAGGCCGAGGGAGAGATCCTGTGGCGTGGTGGTAGTTCTGTTAGTCATATATTTGGTGGCAAAGGAGAAGCTAGATCTGGCCTATGCAAGATAACGAACGCACTTGGACATAGCCTTCTTCTTTGACCTTCAGGTGGACACCCCATAACTTGGAGATGAACTCGTCTCCATCCATGACCCTAGGTGGAGATGGAAATTTTGTGTTAGTGGGCACCTCTCTACCCGACGCATCTTTTACCATCTCAAGTACAGGAAACCACCCACTCCTCGACCATTTGGCGGAGAAAGTCCTCGTCTTGACTGATCTTGGCATAGAGCTCATTATACGGCTTCTGGGCGGCCTGAGCCTGCTCGAAGCAGTTCTTGGGGAACGGGCTGGGAAACAGCGTCACCGCGACGCTCGTGGCCAGGACGCCGGCAGGGTCGGCCTCGGCGGCCACCAGGACCGGGGGCGGGCGGACCGCGAGGCCATGCGCGATGGTCCAGTCCTTGACGGTCTGTACCAGCCTCTCCGTCTCGGCATCATCGAGAGCAGGAGGGCCCAGGGAAGTAGCGGCGCCTGGTTGTGTTGATGGCATGTTTGATAGTACACGATAGACAAGGTGAGTTTGTCAACCAAGATTCCAAACACACCAAGAGTTTCTGCTCGGCCCACAGTTTTAGGAAAGACGGCGTGGCGTTCCAGCCCCCTCACAAGGCTTCTCGCTCCGAGTATTTGTTCACCAGCCTAATTGCTCGTTCTAGAACCCGGATTCGTCAGCGGCGGCCCGCGCAATAATCCCGCTGTCTGAGACCTCCGCTGCCGCTCAGCAAGGACCCCGCGACCAGGATCGAGACCCACAGCCCGTGCTCCCCACAGCACAGCTCACTAAGCCTGATCCATACACCCTGGGGTTGGGTTTGCAGCTCTTCTCCACTTTGTCAACGCCCAACAACACTGATAGTTCAGCAACATCCCAACTCGGGCTGTTTTTCGCTGTGACAAAAAAAAAACTCGGCCCATGCAGCATGAAGCACGTGGGGTCCGCGCACGGGCCACACACGGGCACCATTTTTCAGCTTGAACCCTGCGCGATTTCGGCCACGTGAACACCCGACAAAGTCTCTGATCCCACACCCAAGGTCGCGCCCTGTCGCGTCGCCCACCTTCCCTCCAGACTCTCCACCCACACGTCAGCGTCGCCCTCGAGACTCTAGCACGCCCAGCCGGTCGACTGACTAGTGGTGATCGGGGAGCGTATAGCACTTTCACCGCCGTTGGAGTCGCCCGCACTCTTGCAAGAGACGGCGCTTTTGTTCCCACTGCCGGGTCCCGAAGGTGGTATTTGTTTGCTCTCGACAAGGTTCCTCAGCTTCCCTGCTGCCGTTGGTGGCACCAGGCCAACCTTCCGCCCTCCAATCAACATCATCCTGCCATCAATGGTTTGTCCAGCCTCTTCCTCCGTTCCTCCGTCTTTTCATTTCCTCGAGCTGCCTATGGCGCGAGGCTTTTACCTCTCGCAGAAGCCTGCCGAGAAGTCAATAGTCGGGTCGGAGCTCGAGGTGCGCGTGGCACGGATCTTTGGCCCTCGCTCCGCTCTCCACTCGGACATCTCAATGCCTGTCTTGATCTGGGCGGCAGCTTCCTGGTCCGGCTTTGCGCCTCGACATGGCTTCTCTTTAGGATCATCTCTAAATACCATCACCCGCGCCTACTCGAGATACCTTTTCTTCGTTTTTCCTCTCAGATCCTGGCCACCCTGGATCGGGGGTAACCGCTCCGGTTCTCTTCCTACTCTCATGCATCTCTGCCTTGTTGCGTCAGCGTCATAGTTGCTGCCAGCGCCTCTTTAGGTGCTCGCAGCAGTCCTGCGGGCGGCTCTCTCTCAGTTTCGTCTCAGCTCCAGCATCCTCACCTGGCCTCATGGCCGCTACCGCATTTTTTTTATTTGACAGTACGGCCATCCGCCCACCTTCACCAACTAACTCACGTCTAGTAGTCGCGTGGCTTCAAATAGTCCTTCTCGTCATGGAAGACCCGTGGGACTTTGACTCGAACAGGCTGGTCCGGGAGCTTTGCACGGATAATCACTCCTGGACGCCGCCTTCCAAGGGCACCCGTCCTGACCCTGCCGCCCTCGAGGAGAAGATTCTTGACCTCGAGGCGGATGGCGAGTTTCTCTTGCGCTATGCCGGCACCACAGTTGACGTGTTCGCCGATCTGGGCATCAAAAAATTCCCTCACAAGCGCTTCTTGCTGGCAGCCATTGAGCAGTTTCGAGCTCGCAGCAAGAAGTATCGTCATGAGGTCAAAGGCGAATCATCTCCTGGTAGAGATGAGGCAGTTGAGCCATCGGTAAAAGCTACGGATGCTGTCAACTCCTCCTTCCCGCTTGGACCAGAGCCCCTCGTACCAGTCTCGTTGATCGAGGCGAGGCCTGAAGCGGATGATGGCCCGCGCAAGAGGAGACGCCTAGCACCACGAAACGTCGAGCCCACGCCTAGGCGCGACACGCCTCGCGCAATACCTAATCAAGCCGACACAGTGATTGGCTTCGCCCCGGTTGCCGCCAGCACTGAGGTCCAAACGGCTGCCAGCACCGCCGAGTCACAACATGACTTCCAGCACTCAGTTTCCGAGCACCGCTATTATGCAAGCAGGCCCATACTGTCGGACGATTTCGAACCAGATGCCGACCCGGCCGGAGAGGATTTCGGCGTCCTTGACCCAGGGCACCTCGAATTCTCGTTCACGTCGGGAATCAGCGCCAGCCGCCCTGCTGGCCATCGCATTGCCATGTCCCGGTCGATGAGGAAGTACCTCCAGACTAACCTTCGCGGAGCGCCCCTTGCCGGGAAGAAAGTGCAGCGCGCAAGACAAGCCACTCCTGACGTGGTTCTCAGGCCGTATGGTGAGAGCGACTCGGAAGGCTACGACACCGATACCTGGAAGGAGATGGAGGAAGAGCGACTTGAGCGCGAGCAGAAGACGAAGCAGCAAGAGACCTTCACTGCAGATGAGATTTCCGGATTTTTGGAGAACTTGGTCTCAGAGCTGGAGGAAGAGTGGCGTACCGAGAAGCTCCCCAAGCACCAGAATAAAGCCCACAGCGTCTGGAACAACGCTCGGCGTCGGGGAAGCAATAGAGCGCACCTTCTCCGGCTGACGAAGAAGGAGGCGACTGAGCTCGATGCTCGTCTTTCCAAGATCTGCGACTCTATCAGCGATGATCAGACCTTCCAAAAGGCGGACCTGCCTAAGCACCGAGAGTCTCTACAACCGACTGTGTATGCCAGGATGCACAGTCACTGGCTCATCGGCGTCCTCAGCAGCCTCACTGAGCCTGAGCGACCCAAAGTTGCCCCAAGACCGCGACCTCCAAAGGCTCCCAAGGTCAAGTTGATCGAAGATGGCGTCGAGGCCGACGAGCTGACGAGCGATTCGGAGTCCGACGACATCGGCGATTTCGTTGTGGATGATGGCGATGTGTCTATGGAGGGTCCTGCCCCCGAGGTGATAGAGAAGGACGGGGACGCCGCCATGGATTCCCAGGACGACGCGAATGTGGATTCTGGAGTGACCGCCCCTGGAGATTTGGACGTTGACGAGGACAGGAAGCCTCTTCTGTCAGACCTCGAACGCCAGCCGGCCCCTAGCCACGGAATAACTCTCCCGGTTGACGAGAGTGAAGTCATTGATCTGACGGGAGATACGCCGAAGAAGCCCCGCTACCCTGCACCTTCTTCGCTTCCCGCCGACTCTGTGCCACCTATCGCGCTACCGGCATCAACACTCAATGACCCAGTAGGCATTGCTGCCTATGGGCTGGAACACTGGCAGAGCCTGAGCGATGGCAAGCGGATGGTCATAACCATGCTGTTCAATCTCGACGTCGACACACGTTCGGATGTCTTTTCGCGCATCAAGTCACTTACGCCGGAGAAGATCGAGAATGAGCTTGTCACGCCCTCTTTCGGACATGTTCAGAGGCCACCACTGGACAGCCAGAGCAGCCAGGCAAGTGTGGGCTCGCCGGAGCTTCACGCTGCCTGTGTCTTCACCCGACTGTTCTTAGTCTACACCGACCCCAGCCAGAAGCCCGACGCGCAGTCCTGGATAAAGCGTGTGCTAGGAAGAGTTTCAGCGGAGAGGGTCTTGAAGACACGAGACAGGCTTGGCGAATTCAGCAACTTCATGGCCAGTATCGCAGACACTTTCCCTCAGCCGGACAAGGTTCTCGAGGACGTCGATTTCTCGGATCTAGAGGTAGAAGGGTCTCCGTCTAAGAAGCGGAAGCAGGTGAAGCGTGACAAGGGGGCGATGGACATGCGAGAAAACGACAAGCGACGACTGGAGCAACAGGAAGAGCGGAGGCATGCACTGCGCAGGCAACTGGCGTCCATGGGCACCGTGTCGGGCGAAAAGTCGCGGCTTATCATCAACGAGACGAAGGAGGAGTCGCACGGCCTAATCTACGTGACAAACCAGATGGCTGATAGCATCAAAGACCATCAGATCCAGGGCGTACGCTTCATGTGGAATCAGGTCATCGCCGACGAGGAAAACTCGCAGGGCTGTCTGCTCGCCCACACGATGGGCCTGGGCAAAACCATGCAGGTCATCTGCCTCCTCGTCGCCATAGCCGAGGCGTCCCTGTCGGACGACCCGTCCCTGTTCTCGCAGATCCCCGAGGAGCTGCGGGAGTCCAAGACCCTCGTCCTGTGCCCGTCAGGCCTCGTCCAGAACTGGCTAGACGAGCTCGCCCGCTGGGCGCCGATGGGAATCCTGGGGAAATACTACAAGGTTGATGCGGAGCTTCCAGAGCTTGAAGACAGGTTCGGCGTGGTCCAGGAGTGGGCCAAGAACGGCGGTGTTCTCATCGTGGGCTACCCAATGTTCCGAATCCTCTCCGAGAGGGGTTCAGAGGCCGAGGTCGAGCTGCTGAAAGAGACGCCCAACATCGTGGTCGGAGACGAGGCACACCACATGAAGAACTCGGCCTCCAAAACAAGCATGCACACAGCCCGCTTCAAAACCAAGACTCGAATTGCCATGACTGGGTCCCCGCTGGCAAACTCGGTCAAGGACTACTACGCCATGGTCAACTGGGTTGCTCCAAATTATCTTGGACCGCCCGAGGAGTTTGCCTCGGTCTACGCAACTCCAATCCAGGAAGGCCTCTACCAGGACAGCAGTTCGGGCGAGAAGAGGAAGGCGCTCAAGCTCCTCAAGGCGCTCAAGGACACGGTTGCACCAAAGATTCATCGCATGACCATGGCCGCCCTCAAAGATCAACTGCCGCCGAAGAAGGAGTTCATCATCTACGTTCCACTGACCAAGCTTCAGATGGACGCATACTCGATGTACATGGAATACTTCTCACGCACCGAAGTGCGGGAAAATATGCCGTCAATCCTGCATCTGTTTGACCAAGTCAGCCAACTGAGCATGCTCCTGGCCCACCCCAGGGTTTTCTTAACCAGGCTGAAAGAGATTAAAGACAACTGGGGCAAGGGGACGGTCTCCGCGAAGTCCAGGGCGGCCAAGGACCAGGGAGAGAAGGGGAGTAGGGGTAAGGGGGAATCTATGCTGCCGCGGGACCTTGTTGGAGAACTCATCAAGTGCCTCAATGTTCGCGACTCTGGAGAGTTTTCACTGTCCCACAAGATGGTTGTTCTGCTGCGCATCTTGGAGGAGGCAAAAGCACAGAAGGACAAGGTGCTACTCTTCAGCTCCAGCATCCCAACCCTCGACTTCCTCGAAAGCGTCATGAAGACTCTCAGGAAGCCGTACTCGAGGCTCGATGGCAAGACCGTGATATCGAGGCGCCAAGGCTTGGTCGCTAAGTTCAACCAGAACCTGGACGAGGTATATTTGATCTCGACGACGGCCGGCGGCGTTGGCTTGAACATCCAGGGCGCAAACCGCATTGTGATCATGGACTTCAAGTGGTCGCCAGTCAACGAGCAGCAGGCCATCGGGCGTGCATACAGGATCGGCCAGTCCAAACCTGTGTTTGTATACTGGCTCATTGTAGGGGGTACCTACGAGCCGAAGCTGCATGGCAAGGCGATTTTCAAGACGCAGCTTGCATCGCGCGTCGTCGACAAGAAGAACCCGCACTCATACGCCAACAAGTACTCGTCCTGGACAGAGCAGCCCAAGGTCATGAATCGGACGAGCGACTTCAGCAACGCAATGGGTCACGACAAAGTGCTCGACGCCGTTTTGAAGTCTTCGGCTGACGCTAGCATCTGCGAGGTGGCGCTTGGCGATCTGTTCGAGGAGGAGGAGCCAGAGTCGACGCTTTCACCCGAAGACCTCGCGGATGCCGAGAGAATGGTCAAGGCGAACCAACTGCGTCTCGCAGACCCTGAGGCTTACGCAAGGATGGCTCAGCAACAAGCTGCGATTGTGCCGCCACCCCCTCCCGAGATGCTGCCTATGGGCTTGCGAGCACCACAACAGGCCGTCGCCCCGGGCTGGGCCGCCCCGCCGAGCTCCGTGGCCCGGCCGGCACAGGCGAACGGCGCTTCGTCAAATGGACAGCCTGCTCCTATAGAGACTCCCGTGCCTCTGCCAAGCTATATAACGCAGCAGGAGAAACAGAAGTCAAAGGTACCATCCTCGCCCAACCAGCCGACAGACGGCCAGTGTCAGTCTAGTCTGGCTCGATCTCGGATCAAAAAAATAGTACTGCATTGCTCGGGGGCGGCGACAGGTGACGCGCTAACACAACAACAACAACAAACTCAGACACCTGACGCGGCGGTGCCTAACACAACCACCCCGGCTGCTAACCCCATTGGTCAGAACACACCCCTTACGGTGGGGGTGCGCCGGGCGCAAGGGAATGGACCCCAGGGAGGTCCTCAGCTTTCAAAGCCAGCCGAGGCCGTTCCTGCTCAAACCCAGGATCCCCCAAGCGCAGTGGCTGCAAAGCCTTTGAGCGAAGCTCAAGGACCCACAGAGCCCATCGCTGCGGCAGGGACCGCATTCCGGGCTCAGGGTCCGTCGGACCTGACCCAATCGGAAACCTTCCTTGCTGAGATAAAAGCCCGAGCACCCGCTTTCGTGAAGAAGACGGACGAGAAGATGGTCTCTAACATTGCCCGAATCTTCGGTTACGAGCTGAAAAAGAGGGACAGGACGGGACTGCCGTTGATATCGGAGACAAGGATCATCATAGACACCCTAACTCGCGACGAGGGTGTCTGGACAACACTTATCACCAAGAATCCAGTGGACCTAGCTCGGATAGCATCTAAGAGTGTCTCCCAGCTTGAAGAGATGGTCGATAAGCACCTCGCTGAGCGCGCAGGTGCTTCTTCGACTAGCACTGATCCCGGCACATCCAGCAGCACGCCCATACACAAAAATGCGGCGGCAGCTCCTCGACAGCCGTCCCGCCCACAGGATTCTGATGTATGAGCCAAACTCTTCTTGTCTCTTCAGGGATGGCATCGACAGTTCGAATCGCCAGTTCCAAAACCTATCTCCAGGCTCGCCTCGACAGTTCGAACCACGTCTTGTCTACTACGCCTCTGAGCATCCGAGTGCGCTATCACCTTTTATCCCCCCATCCCCCCCAAAGTAGGCCTGGTGTGTTTCTAGACTCGGTTGATTAACACTAGCTTCTTTCTCGCCTCCGTCATACAGCGTCTGCAAAGATTTGTGAGCCTGAACGGCGGGTCGACACAGGGCAGCCCGAGCAGCTCAGAGACTAGACAGCCGACCAAGAGCGAGCAGGACCTGGAGGTCATGAACGAGGTCTTTCGACGTAGGAAGGCAAAGACGAAATCGGGACGCGACAGGCCGGCGCGCATGCCGAACTGGGCCGTGGAGGGCATCCAGACGCCGCCGCAGCGGAGGGCGGGTGATGATCCGCAGACGCCCGTGGTGCTTGACGATTAGAAGCCGATGCTGCACCAGCGGGGGCCTTGAATGTGACATCTATTCACAGCGCTCTTCTTTTGGTTTCGGGTTTTTTTTTATTCGTTTGTCTGTCAGGTCTACGGGAATCCCGCGGGAAATGTCTCCTTTCACCACACATTGCTTGTACAAACAATCCTAGACTACGGTAACACCATATCGGCGGGGACTCTTTTGCGATCCGGGATGGAGCTTCGGGGGGATACAAAACATGACACTGGGAAAGCGTGGAGGAAAAAGAAAAGAGAGAGGGAAAAAAAACATGACACAGGATCATCTCTAATGGGCATTTGTTTTTAGCCTCCACACATATACCCCAGCGCGGTTTTCACACCCCTTTCACTTTGTCCACTATCGGACATCATATTGGAGTACCGGGGAGAATGGCGAGCTTGAACATGTTATGAGATGCCTAGCCTTGTAATTTTATGAGTGTGAAGTGTGTGTGAACGCGTACATAGGAATGCTGCATGCCACAACAAAGATGGTCTTTTCCAGGTACGCCGGCACGGAAATGCACCAGGAGCGTGGTAGGGGACGAGGCCGATCTTGCGCATGATGTGTGTTTCTTCTAGCCGTCTCAGAAAATAGTCCTGCAGGGTCTAGGACATCTTTCTGCCCTTGGCCGCTGACATGGTACCGCCAGCAGCGTCTGCGGTGGCATGACAGAGCGACTTTCCAGCCTTGTCAACATCGAACTGCTTCTAGCTCATTTATGCTGTGATGGAAGAATCCCACATCAGATAGAACCACGGTGAGGGAAATATATATACGACCGGATTGGGATGCATAGAGAGGAAACCCACATGTAGTTATCGGTTCGGCTCTGGGGCTGATCACGGGCCGACTACATGTCCCGCTGTCTGCGAGCCGACGAGCGGGTTTTATCGACGCATTGATATCAGATCAGGGTAGCTTTCGGCCCGGCCCCCCTCTTCCCCGGAAATTGATGACCCCCACACATACGGCTTTCATATCTGCTTGGCATATGCAAGACGGCGGGAGTGACTTTGGGACGAAGACGAGCGTGGGGGAAAGCACGTACGGATCCAAGACTGGAGCAGGTTGGCGCCAAAAGAATGGAATAAACCATCTAGGGCGTGACGGTAACCAGCCCATCCATATATACAAAAAGCAAACCCATCCAATAACGCCACCCGGGTATTCCCAGCCGATAACTCCTGTGTTGTACAAGTAAAACCCCGACTAACAAAAGAAAGGGTCCAGATGAGTGTGGTGGTTGTAGCCGATGCGCATGGCGTGACTGTAAACGAGCGACTGTGATCTCCCCTTATCGTACACGACCCCCTATCGTACATCGGTCTCTCCATATCTTACACATGACCCTTATCGTACATGGTTCTTCCTATCGTACATTTGTAACCGCCTCAGCACCTCAGGCGAGGCGCCTTGTTTGCCGTGGCCATGTCAGATAGCTCGCGGGGGCGAGACCTGATGGCGGTGGCTTTGGCGCGAGCTTAGTTGCCTATGGCTATAAGAGAGACAGGATTGTCAGCTCAGAAATAGGATGGACGATTTGATCTGAACCTGCACAAACAAGCAAAGGGTTACTCACAACATCCGCTGCAGAGGTTGCCAGACGGGGTGGGGGTGTTGCACTTCTGGCAAGTATGGTTGACTGTACCCATGATGCCTGAGGGTCCAAGGTCGATGGTTTGTGAGAGGAGCGAGTTGACGGAGGAGGGATGGTTGTGGTTTGGGGGCTTGAGATGTAGCTTGTTGAAGCCTCGAGGTCCTGAGAGCTGGAGAGAGGTGGACTGGGGAGGGATGCGGAATAGGATATAAGAATAGCGACGTGGAGGGTGAAGATGATTGCTTTATATAAACGATTGGGGCGTGATATCTCATCCAATGTCGCCGAGGTTTCTATGACAAGATCTAACGCCCACCAAAAGATGCATCAAATACACCTGGCTTGTCGCTCTGGCCAACATCACGGGTGGGCATCCATCAGACATTTCCCGACAAGAGGTTCTTGAGATTGGAGTTCCTGCCATGTTCACCGAGATGCAGTGTAGGTGACTGTGCGCTTGGCCAAGACGGCTGGCCAACAGTCAGTTAGCATTACAAGGTGGTGCTGTGCTTCATATTCTAGCGCTGTATGTTTGTGGGCCTGCTCTGTTCACCGAGGTGTAGCAAAAGCGCCTACGAGGCTAGCCGTCACTGTTGCTCCTCAAGCGCTGTGCCATTTGGTCAGCGCCAGGCGAACTGGAACCCACACCGTCAGCCTAAGCTCTTGGGCCAATCACATGTTACAAAATCCGGCAGTGCTAGTGTTGTCGCCGTCAAAGGTTGGGTCTCGTGACTGATGGCCTTTCCACCTCGAACACAAATACGACAGGGGCCATCACATCCGGCCAACGACGAGAGCTCCGGGATTTGGAATGCATATAGGAAGCCCCGACTGAGCCCGAGAGGCGGGTCTCGGCTGGCTTTGGGTTACGACTAGCAGCAGACGGGTGGCGCCGGCATCAGGTCCGTCGGGCTTCAGCTGCGGAGGCTGCGGCTGGCGGCGCCGTCCTGTGGATGGGCCAGAGTGTTTTATTGTTTCCTGTGCTGTTGTGTTTCTAACCGTCAGAGTTGCCTCCATAAAAGGATCTGTGATTTCTTTGCTGTCATCGTCGGCCTTTCTCGGCATTTGATCCAGCTAATCGAGCAGAATGCTGCGCTGTCTTTTTACCCTTGTGTTTTCTCGTAAGGGACCATCGGCCCCACCAGGATCGAAAGTTTATTGAGGGGCAGTGCCGTGCAGTGCAGTACAGTGTGTTGTTTCCACAGCCGAATGCGCGCAATTTGGAGAGCCGAGGCAACAGAAGGGGAACCAATCACGGACGGCGCAAAGGTAAGAAAGGCCGGAACCTTGAGCGACTCGAGAAGAGCGGGCAAACATAGTGGCTCCGAAGTCCGATTCGGCACCTGCGAGTCCCGCAGCTGACCAGACCGCTTTTCGACGTGATGCTTTGGCGCTAGCATCGACACGGTGCGACAGGGCCGGTATTGACCATCAAGTCCAACCAGGACACACTGTGCTGTGAATTGATGACTCTGGCTGGCCCAAGACTCGCTGTAAGCAAAAAAATAAGAAACGAAGGAGAAAAAAAGGCTAAGAGGAGGGATCAACCCGCCGCCACGGCTTTTCTTCTCGAACCCAAAACCCAATTCTTTCTGTTCTCTTCCCAGCAGCCCATCCATCTGGAATCGGGCCAATTGACATCCAAACACGCCGACGGTCTTTCCTGATCGACCCATTATTCGGTAAGGCCTCCTCTGACGAAGACGCACACCCCGTCTGCTGCCCGCAATTGCCCCTTGTTCTGGGCCCGGCTTATGGACGGGACAGAGTGACTGGCTGACAGAAGACTCGCTAGACCTGAAAACAACAAGACCGCACAAGAAACCACCCCCTCAACCCCAGCAATGGACGCCGTGCTCCGCCAGTCCAAGGCCCTGTGCCCCTTCCTCAACAAGGCGTCGCCCGCCACGCTGCGCGCCCTGTCGACCAAGGCGTCGCCCACCCACCGCCCCCGCCTCTCGCCCTGCGGCGGCACCATGTCCAAGCTGCAGCTGCTGGCCGGCCGCTGCCCCGTCATGGGCAAGGCCATGGCCGTCCAGTCCGCCAAGGTCCGCGCCGGCTCGCTGCCCGTCGGCCTGGCCGGGCTGCACACCTCGCGCAGCAAGGACGCCCGCGCCGTTGACGGGCCCGTAGTCACCCCGCGCGACAACTTCCCCCGGGCCTCTCGTCCGCCACGGCCCGCCCTGCCGCCGCCGCTAGCGTTGCGGCTGCCGCCCATGCCGCCGCCACGGCCTCGGGTGCCGGCGCGCACGGCGGCGCCAAGTTCTCGTACGAGGGCTTCTACGAGGCGGAGCTGCAGAAGAAGCACAAGGACCGGTCGTACCGCTACTTCAACAACATCAACCGGCTCGCCAAGGAGTTCCCGCGGGCGCACATGGCGGACCGCGAGGAGCGCGTGACGGTGTGGTGCGCCAACGACTACCTCGGCATGGGCCGCAACCGGCGCGTGCTCGACAAGATGCACGAGACGCTCGACGAGTACGGCGCGGGCGCGGGCGGCACGCGCAACATCTCGGGCCACAACCGCCACGCCGTCGAGCTCGAGGCCACCATCGCGCGGCTGCACGCCAAGGAGGCGGCGCTCGTCTTCAGCTCGTGCTACGTGGCCAACGACGCCACGCTCGCGACGCTGGGTTCCAAGATGCCCGACTGCGTGATCCTGTCGGACAGCCTCAACCACGCGTCCATGATCCAGGGCATCCGCCACTCGGGCACGCGCAAGGTCGTGTTCAAGCACAACGACGTGGCCGACCTCGAGGCCAAGCTGGCGTCGCTGCCGCTGCACGTGCCCAAGATCATCGCCTTCGAGTCCGTCTACAGCATGTGCGGCTCCGTCGGCCCCATCGAGGCCATCTGCGACCTGGCCGACAAGTACGGCGCCATCACATTCCTGGACGAGGTGCACGCGGTCGGCATGTACGGCCCGCACGGCGCCGGCGTGGCCGAGCACCTCGACTTTGAGGCGCACCGGCGCGGCGAGCCCCGCGGCACCATCCTGGACCGCGTCGACATCATCACGGGCACGCTCGGCAAGGCCTACGGCTGCGTCGGCGGCTACATCGCCGGCTCGTCCAAGCTGGTGGACGCGGTGCGCTCCCTGGCGCCGGGCTTCATCTTCACCACGTCGTTGCCCCCGGCCACCATGGCCGGCGCCAGGGCGGCCATCGAGTACCAGATGGAGCACGACGGCGACCGCCGCCTGCAGCAGCTCCACACGCGCGCCGTCAAGGAGGCCCTGGCCGCCCGCGACATTCCCGTTATCCCGAACCCGTCGCACATTGTTCCGTAAGTCTGCTCGGAGAGGAGAGGAAATTAGAGAGCATCAGAATGCTAACTGGCCATGTCACGTTGTGTTGTAGGATCCTGGTCGGTGACGCCGAGCTGGCCAAGCAGGCCTCGGACATGCTCCTGGGCGACCACCGCATCTACGTGCAGTCCATCAACTACCCGACGGTGCCCGTCGGCCAGGAGCGCCTGCGCGTGACGCCCACCCCGGGCCACGTGGCCGAGTTCCGCGCCGACCTGGTCGAGGCGCTCGACTCCATCTGGACCGAGCTCGGCATCAAGCGCACGTCGGACTGGGCGGCCCAGGGCGGCTTCATCGGCGTCGGCGAGTCCGCGCACGAGGCCGGTGAGGACGCCAAGAACGCGCCACTCTGGAACGACGCGCAGCTGGGCATCGAGCAGGCGGCCAAGGAGATCCTGGCCGCGGGTGAGCCGCCGGCCGGTCGCTTCACCGAGTCGCTGCTCGAGCGCGAGGCGGTCACCCTCGGTAGGGCGGCTGCTGCTGCCTAAGGAGGCCTGCGTGGGGGAGTTTATGTGGAAGTGTGTGTCGCCTGGTACTACTGGTGGGCCGTGTGTGCTGTTTGCCTTTCGTAGGGTGTGGTTTCTATCGTGTAGAACGGCGGGAGCCTCCCTTTTGGATTCTGGACTTGAGAAGACAAATTGAACCATCAGTTTCTGTGGCTGCCGGTTAGCAGAAATGCTGGCCGAGAAGCTCGACTAAACTTTTATGTCTCGCATACCTGCCTGTGATTACATTGCTAGTGACTCGAGAAGCCTGCTTGGATGGTGTTCAACAACGTGACTCGACGTGTTCACGCTGCGTATTTTTTTGCCTAGTGCCCCGTTGCTTCCGAACCGCCTTGGTCCAGCGGGTGGCGGGAAGGGAAAACAAAGAATGGATAAGAAGAGAACAAAAAGGAATGGGCCAGGACGTGGTTCGCCGAAAGAGTGAAGCAAAAGTTCAGACCATTTGGGCCTGGTGGGTGGGCTGGCAGGTTGATATCATGACGACCTCAAGTCCCGGCGGCGGAGGTGCTGGTGCTGCATCAATACAAAACCGGAAGAAAGTCACTTAAAAAAAAGTAAAAATAAAAAAGGCAAAAAAGATGACTGCCCAGCCTATATTAAACCGCCCGCAGGGTGTGGCAGCTGCGAAAACCCCGTTTAATGGTTTTCTCCGATTTTTGTTTTTATCGTCCGCACCCCATACGGGGGATCGAACCCGTGCTCCCAAATCTGTTAAATTAGGGTTCAACGGCTTACCGGTTAACCGTTACACCAAAGGGCGATACCTATTAAGTGTCCGGGCTCGATGACTGGAGGAGTCGGGCGGGCGCTTATATGGCCTGGGCGCAGGGCAGGCTGGGGGCAGCAGGCAGCAAGGCAACAAGGAAGGAGCGAGGCACGGCGAACTGGGTGGGTGGTGTGTCTGCCTCGCAACCTCGTTTGATATTGACATCAGATCCTCATCAGCCGACAGCCACACCCACCTGCGCATATTTGACGTCGTCCCTTTTGGAGGTTTGCTGCTGCCGCACGTCGAGTTCCTTTCCTCTCGGCAAGTTGGTTCACCCACACTCACAGCAAAACGTCTGACATGCCACCCACCCAGACACTCCAGGCTTACTCGCCCTCCTCTTTTGCCTGAACCACCTCCATGGCTTCCTCTTTTGCACCACCCTCCTTGCCCTCCCCCTCCCCCTCCCCCTCCCCCTCCTCCTCTGGCGCGTCCAGCTCCATGGGCAGATCGTTGACGGCAACCACGCTTCCGTCCTCGGGGTCGTGCCGCCTCAGCTGCGCGAGGTCCAGCCAGTCCGTGTCGCCCTCGGCCGTCGAAGTGCGGCAGTCGGCCAGCACGTCCAGAAAGGCGGGCACAAAGGTCCCCCTCCCCTGGCAGCGGCCGGCCGCCACCTCGGCCGACAGGGTAAAAAGCAGCAGCGCCGCGATGGCGGCCACGAACCTGTCGCCGCCGGGGTGCGAGACGGAGCAGGCGGCGCTGACGACGGTGCCGAGCGAGCAGCCCGTGCCCGTGACGCGCGAGAGCAGCACGTGGCCGTGCGAGAGCGAGCAGGCGCGGGCCGGGTCGGCGACGAAGTCGGTGGGGCCCGTCATGACGACGACGCAGCGGCGCAGGCGGGCCAGGCGCACGGCGAGCAGGGCGCGGGCGGCGTCGTCGCGCGCCGAGGGCCCGCTGTCGACGCCGCGCTGCTGGGGCAGGTCCTGCGGGTCCTGCGGGTCGCCGCCCTCGGGCGGCGCGCCCTTGAGCCGCAGCTCCGACTCGAGCTCCACGTCGAGCACCGTCGCGATCTCGCCCTCGTTGCCCTTGATCACGTCGAGGTAGCCGGCGGCTAGGATGGCCTTGACGGCCGCGCGGCGGACGGCGGTGGCGCCGGCTCTGTGGATGTTTTTTTTAGCTAACATTCTGAGTTAAAACCTTGACGGAAATCACACACATACCCTGCTGGGTCAAACACCACGGGGCGGCCGGCCAGGTTGTAGGCCTTGATGGCCTTGATATAGTTCCCGATGCCCTCCGGGGTGACGGTGCCCATGTTGACGACGAGGGCGCCGCCCAGCCTGGCGAGGTCGGCCGCCTCCTCGCCGTAGTTGGACATGATGGGGGAGGCGCCGACGGCGAGGGCGACGTTGGCCGAGAAGTTCTGCACCACCAGGTTGGTCATGTTGTGCGACAGCGGCGTGGTCTCGTGCATGGCGCTAATCACGCCCGGCACCAGGGCCAGGATGTCGGCCGGGTCCCGCGGCTCGGCGGTGCCCTCGCGGGTGGCGAACGGGGGCGGGTCCCGGACGAGGCGGCGCAGCTCCCGGGCGGCGGCCTCGGGGTCCGGGCTGGCCACGATAGCGCTCACGACAGCGACGCCATCAAGCCGCCTGAAGGGCCAAACCTCGGACTGGTACAAGACGCGCTGGACGTTTGTGTGGTTGATGCCGCCGATGGCCACGGCCGGCACGAGCTTGCAGGCCGGGCGGCGCGTCAGCATGCCCAGGATGTACTGCAGGCCGGCCGTCCCCAGGATGCTCTTCGTGTTTGCCTTTGTGGGCGTGGCAAAGATGGCGCCGACGCCGAGGTAGTCGGCGCCGGCGTAGCAGGCCCTGATGGCCTCGAAGCCGTTGTTGGCCGAGATGCCGATGATGGCGTCCGGGCCGAGCAGGCGGCGGGCGTCCTGCAGGGACATGTCGTCCTGGCCCAGGTGCACGCCCTCGCAGCCGACGGCCAGGGCCACGTCGACGCGGTCGTTGATGAGCAGCGGCACGTTGTGCTCGCGCGTCAGGCGGTGCAGCCGCGTGGCCACGTCGACGAGCTCGCGCGTGTCGCTCGTCTTGTCGCGGTACTGCACCACCGTGACGCCGCCGCGGAGCGCCTGCCCGACCACGGCGCAGATGTCGCGCCCGCCGAGGACGGCGGGCGTCGAGTCCGTCACCAGGTAGAGGCTGTAGTCGACGTTTTTGTTGGCCATGGCTGGCTGGCGGGCTGGTGGTGGGTGGATGATGATGATATGTTGTGTGGCTACATTTTATCGCGCACTTCATGAGGGTGGCACTGGCTGTTACACGCAGTCAAGACCACTTACTCGACGGATCACCGAATGAAACAAATAAATGATCCTCACAAAATCGCCCGTGACCACCAAAAACGGGAAACAACCACAACCACCTCACCATTTTCAATGCTTTAGCATTACAACACGACAGCGAAAAAAAGTTGGGTTAAAAAAGGGAATGTATTGTTTTAACCTTCAATTTCCTTTATTCGATTTTTTTTTTACATTTACTTTACTTAGTGTGGTTGCTGAAAACGCTCAAATTCGCAGTCCCTTTTTTGAGTATCATTTATTTTTTTCATACGGTGGGATGTAATGAATACGTCAAATCCCAGCCCACCGGGGCTCAGGGGGATGTTGGCTGCAAGTGGCTGCTCTCAGCACATGACTCAGTGGCCAAGGCTTGGAGCGGAGACGGAGTGATTTTTTAGCTCCGCCGGAGTCGGAATCCCGTCTCAGTCAATGTTTTTCCTTCTTAGCTCCTGGCCAAGAAAAGAAGAGAGCAAGCGACCACGAGGAACCTTACGACGCTTGATTCTTCTTCTTATTCTTCAAGACCTGTGTCGTCCTTATTCTTTGACTACCAAAAGTGCCATGGAAAGGTCTTGCGGCATCGAGCTCTCGCAGGTTGCCCCGTTCGAGACCGCCATAAAGTACTAGTACGCTAGCCTAGCCAAGCCCCTGGCTCAGACCCAGAATCCCGGAATCCCAAAATGGCTGCACAAATACCGACCTCCTCCATCATTGGCGCGGGCGTGACCAAAAACAAGGGCCCTCGCGCCTGTACAACATGTGCAAGAGCAAAATCCCGCTGCCGTCCCGGGCCGGTCCCTTCAGCCTGTGAACGGTACGTGGCCTCGTCTGGCGGTGGCCCAGCAGAGAGACTCCAGCTGACCCCCGTCACGTACAGCTGCCATCGGCTCGAGAAGCCATGTTCTTCTCAAACCCCAGCCCCGCCGCGCAAGCGGAAGGAGACGAGGCCCAACAGGATGGCCGAGCTGGAGCGCCGGCTGCAGGACCTCACCAGCAAGCTCCAGCCCGTCGTGGACGCACGGCAGCAGCAGCAGCAGCAGCAGCAGCAGCAGCAACAGCACCACGGCGACCAACAGCTATCGCCGCCCGTGTCTACCCCGGACACCACAGAGGACCAGCTGCCAGTTCCGGCAACCTCCAAGAGGGCCACTAGCATCAGCTCTGGGGGTCTGCTCCACCTGCTACCCGGCATCGGCATCACAGTCGACTCGGCGGTGGAGTCGGACTACGGATCTACCAGCTCCGCCTCGTCCCCGGGCCGCGGCCGCAGTAGCGCCTCGGCTCACACGCCCGTTCCTCCATCTTCCGGGCCGACGCCGGCGCCGGCACCGGGCGAAAAGTCGGTGTGGCTGAACCCGACCGAGGCCGCCTTCCTCCTGAGGGAGTACCACGAGCACATGCAGCACCTGTTCCCCTTCGTCGTCGTGCCCGCGCACGTGAGCTCCGACGAGCTGCGGCGGCAACGGCCCTTCCTCTGGAAGGCCGTCATGACCGAGGCCTGCCACATGGACGGGCGCCGCCAGACGGCCATGGGCCACCAGGTGCTGACCGAGATGGCGGCCGCCACCATCACAGCGTCAGCGTCAGCGCAGACGCTGGACCTGCTGCAGGGCATCCAGCTCCTGCTGGCCTGGTTCAACTTTGGCATGACGAGCTTCCAGATCACGAACCTGCTCTTCCTCGCCCGCTCGCTCTGCTTCTCGCTCGGCCTGGGCGAGCCGCAGGGTAGCGGCGGTGGCCCGCTGACGTCGGCGAGGCTGGAGGAGATGCGGGCGTATGCCTGCACGTACTATCTGGTGACCTTGTGAGTTTGCGACGACGGGCCTCTTCCCCTCCCCCGTGGAGCCGTGGCAAAGTGCTAACCCTCCCTGGGGCTAGAACATTTACGTCCAACAAGAAGCCGGATGCGCTCATGGGCACGTCGCACATCGACGCCTGCTGCGAGGCCATCCAGTCCAGGATGGAGCACCCCACCGACCAGCTCCTGCTACAGCTCGTCAGGGTCCAGCAGCTCATCCAGTCCATCCACCTGGCGCTCGTCCCCTTTGCCCAAAGCGCGCACGCCAGGGGCAACACCACCACCCTGCCGCCCGGCACGCCACCCCTGGGCGTCGTGGTGAGGGACTTCCAGCGGCGGATCGCCGAGTTCGAGCAGAGCGTCCCGGAAGACCTAACGGACCACCCGGGCCTCAGGAGCCACATCACCGTCGCCCACATCCAGCTCTACGAGATCAGCCTCAACGAACTGCCGCGTCCGCCGCCGCCGCCGCCGCCGCCGCTCCCGGACCGCCCCGGCTTCGATACCACCGCGCTTGCCCACCAGGTGGCGGCGGCGGCGGCGGCGGCGGCCGACGAGCCAGAAGAACGGCTCGAGCTCCTCTGGCTGTGCCTCGACGCGTGCCGACGGTACATGGCCTTCCGGTTCAGCGGCGGGGGCGTCCCGCCCGCGCGCAACCCGCGCCCCCACACCGTCTGCCTGTCGGCGTCGCTCGACTTCGTCGTCGCCATGATCACGTCGCTCAAGCTCTGGATGCTGCAGGCGCCGCCGCCCGGCTGGGACCGCGCGTCGGCGCGCAAGGGGCTCAACCTCGAGGTCATGGCCGACCACATGATCGAGGAGCTGCGCGAGGCCGTACTGGATCGGCAGTGCACCATCGCCGGGTACTTTTCTGGTGGCGAGGGAGGAGGAGGAGGAGGAGGAGGGCGGCAGGTGCCCCAAGACGACGACGGGGGCGGCGGCCCGCTAGACCTGTTCGAGACGCTCCGCCAGCGCATGGTGTTCATCCGCACCGCGCTGCTCAGCGAGGCGCGGGACTCTGCCCGGGACGCGCAGGCCGCCGCCGCCTCGGCCCGCGCGGGCCCGTCGGTTGGTGGTGGTGCGAGTGACGCTACTACTACTGCTGCTCGGTGCGCGTACGAGGGGCAGGGCCAGCAGGACCAAAGTACCGGCCAGCGGCTCGAACAAGACAGGCAGGTGCTGCAGCAAGATGAACAACAGCAGCAGCAGCAACAAGAGCAACTAGAACTGCTGCCCCCGCACGTCCCCATGGCGGATCTGGACTTGGATAGCTGGGCGGCAAATCTGTTTATCGGAGAGGAGGACTGGGATCCCTCGACCATGATGGTGTTTGACTGGTCGACGTAGCAGCCGTTGTCAGCTGTTTATTTGTTTTGTATCATTTTGTGGCGTTTTGCAGCGTCTGGGTTTTGGGAGCCAAGTTGGGGTTTTGCGGTTTGACGGCGCCATTGATGTTTATTACGGGACCAGAACCAGGACATCAAACGTCTTGTCGGTTTTGTTCCGAGAACAAATTCCACTCAGCAGGCAGGAATAGACACACACACCTTTTTGACACTGACATTGACACCGACGGCATTGCAAGGCTCGTCCCTGTTTCAGGGGAACCAATCACCAGCACGGATCGCCAACGGTAGCGTGTGTGTGTGACAAGGTCAGCTACCCCCCACACGACGTCTCTCCCCCCTCCCTGCGCCTCGGCTGCCCCGACTGTCCGATCCGGGCTGCCCGCGTGCTCATCATGCGTGCGTGCATCCTTGATAACGTCAGGCGGGGGTGGTGTGGTGGCCGGGAAAAGCGCACGCGGCCGTCGCCACCCTGCAGCATTCCGCACGTCCTTTGAGATAATAGATAGCACGCCGATTTAGAAATTATTCGAGATAAAATCACAAAAAACAGTTGCAGCAACTTCTATTGTTATTCCCACAACCGACTACGCATTTTTCCCACCCAAAACCTCAAATCCCCCTGTTTGTTGAAAACCTCAAGCCATGGAGGAGTCGTGCTGCACTTGCGCGACCCTCCTATCCGACAGCCGCCGCCGCCGCCGCCGCCGCCACCAACACCGAACGGCCGACGACGACAACCAAGACAGCGACGACAGCGCCGGAGCCCTGGACGAGAAGCAGCTGTCGGAAAAGGACGACGAGGTGCCCGACAGGAGGCTGGAGTGCTGCGCGCGCGTGATTTGCGGGCACTGTCTCGACGTATGCCGTCATCACCGTCTTCTTTACTCTTTCCTACCCCCCGCCCCCAGTTGACAAAAGGTCGCCTCGCACAACAGAAAAACGTCCGGTTCGCGACATACTGCCCCTACTGCCAGATCGCCACTGAGGGCCACGACCTCAGCATCCCGTCCGCTGGGCTCCGGAACCCACCGTCGTACGGGGCGGCGACGACGACGACGACGACGACGACGACGACGACGGCGGCCGCCAAGAAGGAAACTCCACCACAGCACCAACACCACCACCACCACCGCCGCCCGCTCACGCCGCCGCCGCCGTACACGACAGCCGCCCCCACACCACCGACCAAGGCCGACGACGACGACGGCGACGACAAGACAGCACCACCGCCGCCGCCGCCGCCACCACCACCACCCCAAGACGTCCTCCACTACCTCGACCACGCCCGCGACACCATCCCCTCCCTCTCGCTGCGCTACAACATACCCGCCGCCGCCCTGCGCCGCGCCAACCGCCTGCCCAGCGACCACCTGCTGCCCGGCCGGCGCGTCATCGTCATCCCCGCTGCTGCCTCCGCATCATCCCCGTCATCCACCCCCACCACCACAACAACAGCAACAACAACAACAACAACACCACCACCCCCACCCCCACCGTCGCTCCAGTCCCTCAGCCCCCACCCCGTCGAGGGCGCGGCCGAGGAGCACCGCAAGGCCAAGGTCCGCCGCTGGATGGTGGCCTGCCGCGAGGCCGACTACGACGTCGCCCTGCTGTACCTCGACCAGGCTGCCTACGACCTCGACGCCGCCGTCGACGCCTACTTTGCCGACGAGGCCTGGGAGCGGGACAACCCGCTGCAGGCCGGCGGCGGCGGCGGCGCGAGGGGGAGGATGGGGAAGGGGAGGAAGGGCGCGGGCGGGCAGTCGCCGTCGTCTGCTGCTCTAGGAGAGTCCGGGTCGTCGTCGTCGGCGTCGGCGTCGGCGCCATCAGCTGAAGCAGCAATAGCGTCTTCCTCCGCCGGCCGCCTGGGCTTCGGCGCCGCGGCCCCCGGCGAGGGCGGCTGGATGTGGGCCGCGCAGGCGCCTTTCCTCAGGCGGGGGCGCAAGAAGGACCAGTCGGGTCCGACACCATGAACACAACACACCAAACAAGATATACTCCTTGGCTGGCCACGAAGTTCAAAGCCATCAAAGGCCCCCCGTCTTGTCATGTCCCATGAATTATATATCTAGATACACAAGGCAGCCACATAGAAATACCAGACGCCGTTCGCCTGCTGACCTGTGTGTGCGCAAGACCGTATTACTTCCAAAGTCCAAATAAATTCAACATCACCCTTGCCTTGCCGCCCGACAAGAGACCGTGATTAAAAGGCAGACCGAGTCCTGATGTCGGAAATCTTGCGCTCGATCTCTCTGACGGACCGGTCCAGCTCGCCCGCAATCATCTGCTTCTTGTCGTTTGGCAGCATGGTGAAGCGCTCGCAGAGATCTCCGTCAATGACGCCCTTGACGGGCACATAGTAGCTCCGGTACATCAGGTGGTCCCTGCCCGCGAGCGGCGGGTCCTCGCTCCGCATGTGCTGCTCGAGCGTCTGGAAGAAGTCGGCGTCCTCACGGCTCACAAACGGTATCAGGACCCCAATCGTGCCCTGGATTCCTCCCCACAGCAGCACCTCCTGCCCGCCCACCACCAGGTTGGTCTTGCAGATGCTTGTGGCTATGTCTTGTGTGTAAACGTGCGCCATCAGCGCCAGCCGGTTCGATGTGCCGTGCAGGTAGTCCCTTGCGTGCATCAGGTGCACCTCGGACCCCGGCTGGTCCGCCTCCTGGCTAGCCTTCTCTGGACATCGCAGGATCCAGATGTTGCCAAATTTGTCGCCGCCCGCAGTGGACTCGTAGTCCACCATGGTAGAGCAAGTCGTCCATCGTTGAATCGAGTCGTCCGCAAACGCTATCAGCTTGTTGGCTTCTTGCTTGTACGCCACGTAAATCAGGCCGTGCTGAGAATCCCCGACAACAATCCGGCTGCCTTGTGTCTGTAGCGACACGATGACCCGCGGCGCCACTTCGGACTGGGCTTTCCGCAGCAGCTGTCGCAAGCCTAGGTCATATATTCTCAGGGACCGCCCGACGCCTGCCACCAGCTTGCCCTGGAACGCCAGCAGCGCCATGGGTGGCTCCTCGACCTTGGTCTTGTGGATGAACTCGAGTTCTCTGCCGTCCTCGAGGAACCGGTACACGTGAATGTAGCCCTCGGTAAAGCACCGTGGGTTCAGTACCATGTCCTTGCCCGTCCCCACGACAAGGAAGCTTTCGCTGTCCTGTGATGCGAACGGAACGACAGCCACGCTGACAGTGGCCTCGTTGTTCTCCAGGTGGATCTGTTGCAGAACGCTGGGCTCACGCTCTTCGCCGTCACCCAGCGGGTCAACGACGCTGATACATGACGCCCATCGTCCATTACCCCGAGGGTATCCAAACTCCTCGGGCGGTAGGACTTTGGTATCCCCATTGACAGCTGTCGGCGCAGCCAAGAGTTGCTCTCTCAGTTCGGGAGGGAGCGTGTTGTTCTCGGCCTCGATGGTGTAGAAAATTGGGTGCGTGGGGTTCTTAATCAGCTTTTTGGGTGTGTATGCGAGAGAAATGGACTTCTGGATCATGCTATCACCCAGCTTGCCAATGGCGCAAATCCTGGTGCGTAAAGCCAAGGTTAGCTTCTGAATTCCAAAAAAAAAAAAAAACGCAGTCGGTATCATGGCATGGAATTTCCACGTCTCAGAAGGAACAATTGGTATCGTACGCGAATACGACATCAAAAAACTCATAAGCCGTAGCTTCAATCTCTCAAGTCTCATCATGGTGATGTGGAAATCCAGTTGAAGAAAAGGGGCGGACAAGACAGAAAAAGAGAGCTTCACATACCGAAGGAACTGGCCCTGGACGCCCACCATGCCCTCCTCGCACTGCTCGCTGCGGAAGTTCCATGCCCACTCAAGCTCCTCATAACTCAGTGGCGTCATAGTGAAGCCCTTGCTGATCGGATCCGAGTAGCCAAGCCATGACCGCGAGCTCAGGGCGAGAACACACGTCATGCCTTGCACCGAGACCTGGAAAAGCCTCACGGCCTTGGGACCTAGGAACTTTTGCCGGGTATCTGTCAGCTCTCCCGTCACTTCGTCGAGGACGGTGCGCAGGTAGACTCCAGAGTTGAGGCCGATATGCAGGTAGAGAGTTGTGCCACCCGATGACGAGTCCTCCATGGCCATAATAGACAAGGCTGAGGGGGCGGCCGTCAGGGCCTGCACCGACTTGCTCTCGAGCGTTGTCTCAGGGTCGAGACTGAGGATCCTGACAGTGCAGTCGTCGCAGCCGACGGCAAGGAAAGAGCTTCTCAGCCGGCCCTCTGGAACCTCCCCGAGGCTCAGACTGGTGACTGTGCCAGACATCTCCTTCCTTTCATCGTACTCTGCCAGCGATCCATCCGTGTCCATCTCAAAGTACACAATCTCTCCGCTACTCAGCGCGACGGCCACCTGTCTTTCGTTGGTAGCAGCCGCGACAATCGAGCGGTGCTGGGGCGTCGGCCACTCGTTCACGACACCGCTACGAATGTGTCGGATCCCCCTGGGATGGACCTGAACCAGCCCATCCTCGCCGAGCTGCTGGACCGCCAGGGTAGACACCGAAGATAGGAAGCCCGTGTCGCTGACCTCCTCGACTGTCTCGCCGATGCTGAGGACAAGGGTTCCGTTTGTAAAGGAAAGCACAATGTAGGAATCGTACTGATCGTCGCGGGCTATTTTGGTCGTCCACACGGCCGATGGAGTACCAGGTAGCTGCGACGCCACAATCTCGTTCACCTCGAGGCCATGCTTGAGCATGCGGAAGGTGCTCCGCGCACCGTTGCCCGAGACAGTGTAGATCTGCGGCGCATCCTCGTCCGTCAGATTGGCCACCTTGAGATCCATCAGCGGGTTCATAGACTCGACACTCTCAACCAGGGCCAAATTCTCGGTAGGCCTGGGGTAGAAGTAAGCAGGCTCATAAGGCTCTGCGGGGTCAGAAGGGAAATTCTCGCTGCTGAACTCAAGCTCTTCGTCGTCATCACCGAGCTTCTCGAACTGGTAGAAGTGGTGGTTGCCGAACTCGCTCGCAACGAATAGGAAGCCACTCTTCAGAATGCACAGGTTGCTCGAGACGGGGATCGTGTCAAAGTACTTGATCTTCAGCCTCTGGACTTCACCCGTCGTGTTTCCCTCTGCGTCCTCCAACATGTCAATAGTGACCTTGAACAGATCTCCATCTTCGGTCTGGAGCAGGAAAAAGAATGCACCGGCGCTTCCCTTGAGCTTGTGCATGACGCCCGAGACGATGTTGCGTTTCCTGTTGGGGTCCTCGGTAGCGCCCTTGCGCCTCGGGATCGGGACGCGGAAGGCGTCTTGGTTGGAGTGCCTGTACGTGATGTTCTCTTGGCCACAGACCAAGACTCCACTGGGGCCATCGCTACCTCCCGGGACCTGGAAGAGCATGTTGGCGGTAGGGTCAACAACGTCGAACCATTTCCGGACGACGTGGTTGAGACCTAGATCGAGCTCGTAGTAGTTGAGCACCGTCTCGACATTCTGCGTGGCATCGCTCTTGGAGTCCTGGTCGGCATCGGTGTAGTCGATCTCAAGGGCAGCGAAGACGGGGTTCGAGTAGCCAACATCGAGGGCCACGAGCGACAGGGTCAAGGTGCCGTTCTTGTGAGCCTCGAGCGGAGACGAGATGGTAAGCTCAGCCTGGGAGTTACGGTTGAGCACATAGACCAGCTTGCAGCGCTCGACCGAGGCAATCAGGCAGGCGCGGCCCTTGGGGTCGGCAGCGAGATATTGCCCCGGGATGACACGGCGCACACCCGATTTGCCAAAGGTCTCGAGATGGATCCTGTGGAACCTGTTCTTGGCTGGAAGGTACTCGATGATGGTGATCCTGCCCGAGTCGCTGGCGATAATTATGTAGTCTGGTGGCAGGCAAGGAACAGCTCAGTGCGTTAGCATTGTCCAGCCCAAGGACAGCCCGAGCTGATGGGAGCCTCGCCCCGACATGACAGGCCCCAGCCTCTGGCGCGCCTCCTGGCGGCATGACGCTGCCATCGGAGGGTGTCGCTTAAGGGTCTAGCGACCCAGCTTCAAGTCACTAAGTGGCCGCCGACAGCGAGGGTGGGGTGGGTGCGCACCTTTGTTGCTCCCCGCGAGCCGGAAGGACGCGAGGTCGCGGATGATGCCAAAGACATCCTGCGAGATGATGGGGAGGATTTTGCCCAGCGTCGGGTCGGGGCGCAGGAGGGTTAGACGCGAGCCCGAGGCGGTGACGATCTGCTGCTCCTTGGTGCCGGTGAACTGGCCGAGGATGGCGATGTTGATGTTTGACGGGGGCTGGATCGTCAGAGAGTACATGAACATATTGGATGTGGTAGCCATTCTGTCCGAGGGTGCGCAGCAGCCTGCGCGGCTTCTCTTCAATCAATGTTGGAGCGCAAGATCGGGCGAGCCCCAGGCTTTGATGCAGCTAGGAGTGGCAGCTGGCAAGCGACGCTGCCGTGACAAGAAGGCGGCTCGATTTTGAAGAATCAATCCTCGGTGCCACGCTCAAGTCCAGCTCTGCACGCGACTAGCAGTAGTAGTCCAAAGCTCCAAGAAAAAAATCAGGTCGTGGTTGGAGGACCCGCTTTTACTGTCCTAACTTTTTAGAGGTGGGGCGCGGAACTTGTGGGATGCATGGAAGTTGGGGAAGGAGCTTCCGTATGGGAATCGATATCGCGAGCTGGGCAATCAGACCACAAAACCAAAGAGCCCCTCCTTGCTGGACAAGAACCGAACCCGGAAGCTCTGGCAGCACACAATGGCGTCGACAGCTGAGCCCGCGGTGCGCGCAGCTCTTGCGACGCTGTGCCGCCCATGTTCTCGGCAAACGGCGAGGCAGCTGGCCCCTCGCGCAGTCCCGCGCCGCCTATACGCCGCTTCTGCGAACAGCCCACGGCGATCAGGGGTCGCAGCGGCAGCAGCAGCAACAGCACCCGCAACGCCCAGGTGTAGCAGCCATGGCGGCGCCCGCACGCCCCTCTCAGCCCACGGCCACGGGCCCCGACAGACCAGCGCCTTCTCCTCGCAAGCGTCGGCCGCCGCCGCCACGTCGGATGCGCCGCAGAAGCGGGTGCTCCGCGCCGACGACCTCTTCCACCCCTTCACCCGCTCGCCCATCCCCGAGATCCGCCAGCGCGCCGCCTACATCCGGCAGCACGCCTACTGCCCGCACCCGGACCACCGCATGGCGCGCATGCAGGGCGGCGAGCTGCTCCCACCGGCCGAGGGCGCCAGCCTAGCCCCGGCCCACGTCGACTTTGAGTGCCCGGACTGCGGCATCCCGGTAGCCTGCAGCAAGGAACACTGGGCCGACCAGTACGAGGCCCACCTCGAGGTCTGCGACGTGCTACACCAGATCAACGAGGACGATCATGATCTGCGGTCCGGCCGCTTCTTCCCCGAGTTCGAGTACGCGGGCCCTCAGATGGACGAGGCCCTCGTCAACATGACCAACTGGGACACTTTGCTGTACACCAGGGGGTTCCACGCCATCAACGACGACCGCAGCATGCGCCAGGCCACGCGCCTCCTGACCTACCCGCTCACCATCGCTAGCATCCTGCACGAGCTCAGCCCCTATCACATCCGCCCCGGCGGCCGCCTAACCCCTGAGGGCCTGAAGAGCCTGAGCGGTATGTGACATGGCATGTGATATGCGTTGTTGGCAGACCAAAACCAAAACAGCAGCTAACGCGCCTTCTTGACACACC